ACGTGGAGGGCTAAAACGTTGAAGGTGGTACTGGAAAAACCTCATGCATCAGCATGTTAGGGACACTACCAGAGAGAGGGGAGGGGATGAACCAGCAAAACTGGATCTAGTATTCACCTTGAGCAGCATAGATATTGAAGACATCACATATGAAAGGCCTCTTGGAGCTGGAGTTTACCTGGAGAGAGTTCCGGGGGTCAACGCCCCCGCGGCCCGGTCCGTGACCAGGCCTCCTGGTGGATCAGAGCCTGATCAACCAGGCTGTTGCTGCTGGCTGCACGCAAACCAACGTACGAGCCACAGCCCGGCTGGTCAGGAACCGACTTCAGGTGCTTGTCCAGTGCCAGCTTGAAGACTGCCAGGGGTCTGTCGGTAATCCCCCTTATGTATGCTGGGAGGCAGTTGAACAGTCTCGGGCGCCTGACACTTATTGTATGGTCTCTTAACGTGCTAGTGACACCCCTGCTTTTCATTGGGGGGATGTTGCATCGTCTGCCAAGTCTTTTGCTTTCGTAGTGAGTGATTTTCGTGTGCAAGTTCGGTACTAGCCCCTCTAAGATTTTCCAGGTGTGTATAATCATGTATCTCTCCCGCCTGCATTCCAGGGAATACAGGTTCACGAACCTCAAGCGCTCCCAGTAACTGAGGTGTTTTATCTCCGTTATGCGCGCCGTGAAGGTTCTCTGTACATTTTCTAGGTCAGCAATTTCACCTGCCTTGAAAGGTGCTGTTAGTGTGCAGCAATATTCCAGCCTAGATAGAACAAGTGACCTGAAGAGTGTCATCATGGGCTTGGCCTCCCTAGTTTTGAAGGTTCTCATTATCCATCCTGTCATTTTTCTAGCAGATGCGATTGATACAATGTTATCGTCCTTGAAGGTGAGATCCTCCGACATGATCACTCCCAGGTCTTTGACGTTGGTGTTTCGCTCTATTTTGTGGCCAGAATTTGTTTTGTACTCTGATGACGATTTAATTTCCTCGTGTTTACCATATCTGAGTAATTGAAATTTCTCGTCGTTGAACTTCATATTGTTTTCTGCAGCCCACTGAAAGATTCGGTTGATGTCCGCCTGGAGCCTTGCAGTGTCTGCAATGGAAGACACTGTCATGCAAATTCGGGTGTCATCTGCAAAGGAAGACACGGTGCTGTGGCTGACATCCTTGTCTTGTCGGATATGAAGATGAGGAACAAGATGGGAGCGAGTACTGTGCCTTGTGGAACAGAGCTTTTCACCGTAGCTGCCTCGGACTTTACTCTGTTGACGACTACTCTCTGTGTTCTGTTAGTGAGGAAATTATTAGATCCATCGACCGACTTTTCCTGTTATTCCTTTAGCACGCATTTTGTGCGCTATTACGCCATGGTCACACTTGTCGAAGGCTTTTGCAAAGTCTGTATATATTACATCTGCATTCTTTTTATCTTCTAGTGCATTTAGGACCTTGTCGTAGTGATCCAATAGTTGAGACAGACAGGAGCGACCTGTTCTAAACCCATGTTGCCCTGGGTTTCTAGATGGGTGGTGATCTTGCTTCTTAGACCCTTTCAAAGATTTTTATGATATGGGATGTTAGTGCTATCGGTCTGTAGTTCTTTGCTGTTGCTTTACTGCCCCCTTTGTGGAGTGGGGCTATGTCTGTTGTTTTTAGTAACTGTGGACGACCCCGTGTCCATGCTCCCTCTCCATAGGATGGAAAAGGCTCGTGATAGGGGCTTCTTGCAGTTCTTGATGAACACGGAGTTCCATGAGTCTGGCCCTGGGGCAGAGTGCATGGGCATGTCATTTATCGCCTGTTAAAAGTCATTTGGCGTCAGGATAACATCGGATAGGCTTGTGTTAACCAACTTTTGTGGCTCTCTCATAAAAAATTCATTTTGATCTTCGACTCTCAGTCTGGTTAGCGGCTTGCTAAAAACTGAGTCATATTGGGACTTGAGTAGCTCACTCATTTCCTTGCTGTCATCTGTGTAGGACCCATCTTGTTTAAGTAGGGGCCCAATACTGGATGTTGTTCTCGACTTTGATTTGGCATAGGAGAAGAAATACTTTGGGTTTCTTTTGATTTCATTTATGGCTTTTAGTTCTTCCCGCGATTCCTGACTCCTATAAGATTCCTTTAGCTTGAGTTCGATGCTTGCTATTTCTCTGACCAGTGTCTCCCTACGCATTTCAGAAATATTGACCTCTTTTAGCCGCTCTGTTATTCTTTTCCGTCGCCTGTAAAGGGAGCGCCTGTCTCTTTCTATTTTACATCTACTCCTCCTTTTTCTTAGAGGAATAAGCCTTGTGCATACATCGAGTGCCACCAAGTTAATCTGTTCTAGGCATACGTTGGGGTCTGTGTTGCTTAGTATATCTTCCCATCTTATATCGGTTAGGACTTGGTTTACTTGGTCCCACTTTGTTTTTGTTATTGAAGTTGAATTTCGTGAATGCTCCCTCGTGACTAGTCTCATTATGTCTGTCTGGGGCTCCACGCATACATGTCTGAACCTCAATTATGTTGTGATCTGAGTATATTGTTTTTGATATGGTGACATTTCTTATCAGATCATCATTGTTAGTGAAGATGAGGTCTAGTGTATTCTCCAGTCTAGTAGGCTCTATTATTTGCTGGTTTAAATTGAATTTTGTGCAGAGATTTAAAAGCTCGTGTGAGTGTGAGTTTTCATCAGAGCTGCCTCCTGGTGTTATTACTGCAACAATATTATTTGCAATATTCCTCCAATTTAGGTGCCTTAAGTTGAAATCCCCCAGGAGCAAGATGTTGGGTGCAGGAACTGGAAGATTTTCCAGACAATGGTCAATTTTTAACAGCTGTTCCTGGAATTGCTGGGATGTTGCATCCGAGGCTTGTAGACTACCACAATGACTAGGTTTTGGTTCTCGACCTTTACTGCTAAAACTTCCACTACATCATTTGAGGCATTTAGCAGTTCTGTGCAAACAAGTGACTCTGCAATGTACAGGCCAACCCCCCCCCTTTTGCCTGTTCACTCTGTCACATCTGTATAGGTTGTAACCTGGGATCCATATTTCGTTGTCCAAGTGATCCTTTATGTGGGTCTCAGTGAAAGCCGCGAACATTGCCTTTGCCTCTGCAAGCAGTCCACAGATGAAAGGTATTTTGTTGTTTGTTGCTGGCTTTAGACCCTGTATATTTGCAAAGAAGAATGTCATCGGACTGGTGGTATTGTTGGTACTGGGGGGGGGGATTTTTTTTCCGGCATTAGTATCTGTATCTGTTGGTTTGGAGTGGAGGCCATCGACTGTGGTTCCACTCCAGGAATGACTGGATTTGGTGTACGATTTCTGCCATTTCCTGCCAGTTTTTTTTCCTTCCTGGCACTAAAAAACCTCTCCCTCTTGAGTGGCTGTGGCTACCCAGGTTTTCCCATGGCCTGGATGTTTTGTATCTTTTTGTACCCTTTAGATGGTGTGCCTGGCAATTTAAGTTATAGCACAGTCTTTCCTGTACTGAAGAGGTACACATTTCAGGGTGAAAAAGCTTACAGGAATGGAGTTTGCATTTTCCTGTTGTCAAATGGGCATGGCATTTTCTAGGGTGGTCATAGTTGCACGTCCCATCTGTTTTTCCAGATTTCCCATGTCTGCAGATACCAAGTGCATAGTATGTGCACAGGCTTGGTTTCCGTTTGCCTTGGGTTTCTGTGACTGTATTTCCTGTTGGTGCATGTTTCCCTGTCTTATTCCTATCCTCCCTAGCACCAACAATGGAGCTCCCACCAGTTGTTTTTGGTAATATATCCTCACTATAGCTAGTGAGTCCTCTTGTTTGCTATTTCCTGTGGTATTTCTAGTTTGCAATATTGGTTTTATCTTATCTTTGACTACACTTGTTTCCCTACTATGGCTCCTGTCCCCTATGAGGTTATTTATATGTATTCCTTCCTGCGTATAATTCCCGACTACCTGGACAAAATCTCCAGCTTCACCATTACTGTCTCCCAGGACAGCACCTCCAGCTTCACCATTACTGTCTCCCAGGACAGCACCTCCAGCTTCACCATTACTGTCTCCCAGGACAGCACCTCCAGCTTCACCATTACTGTCTACCAGGACAGCACCTCCAGCTTCACCATTACTGTCTCCCAGGACAGCACTATCAGCCCCACATTTACTGACTACCAGGACATCACCTCCAGCCTTACAGTTTCTGACTACATGGCCAGTGATAACTTCGTTCTAAAATTTGAATACATAGTAGAGTTACAAATGGAGAGGGAGGCAGGAAGATCCACCAGGAGGCCTGGTCACAGACCGGGCCGTGGGGGCGTTGACCCCCGGAACTCTCTCCAGGTAAACTCCAGGTAAACAAGAGAAGGGACTACAAAGGCATGAGGAATTTCCTGCATGAGGCCCAGTGGGACAGAGAACTGGCAGGGGAAACACTAAATGAGATGATGGAATATCTGACAACAATATGCAAGGAAGTGGAGAAGTAGTTTGTACCCAAGGGCAACAGACATGAGAAGGCCAGGACGAGCCCTCAGTTCACCCAAAGGTGTAGAGGCTAAAACCAAGTGTGCTAGAGAATGGAAATAGTAAAGAAGGGAAAGAACCCAGGAGTGTAAGAAGAGTAGCTGAAGAGCAAGAAATGAACATGCACAGGTAAGGAGGGAGGCCCAACAATAATACGAAAATGACGGCAGTAAAAGCAGTCTGACCTGAAGCTGTTGTACAGTCACATCAAGAAGAAAACAACAGTCAGACACCAGGTAATCAGGCTAAGGAGGGGAGATCACAAGTAATGGCCTTGAAGTTTGTTAGTTAAACATGAGATTCAAAGAAGTATTCACAGTGGAGACAGAAGATACAGTCACCTCACATACTGTGTCACCTTACACATCGTGTCACCACCACACACCGTCACCTCACACACACTGTGTCACCTTACACACCACTCTTCATCACTGGCCTACAAGATTAAACACTATATTCACTGTGCAGACAGACCACAAACACACATCTTACCAAAGGGAACAGCAGGGTCATAGCAAGGTAGATGTGATGCATTCCACAAATCTTTGGTAATGTAGGCATCCTTCAGTGCTGAAACTGCGTCATGAAAATCTTTCATTGATTCTGTAAAGGAATGAAAACAAAAATATAATCCACACAATGTAAGTAACTTTCCAATACCTGAAAAGTATACCTGGAGAGGGTTTCAAGGGTCAACGACCCCGCAGCTATGTCTGTGACAGGCCTCACTGTGGATCAGGGCCTGATCAACCAGGCTGTTACTGTTGGTTGCATGTAAGCCAACGTACAAACCACAGCCCGGCAGATCAGGTACTGACTTTAGATACCTGTCCAAAATCTCCTTGAAGACAGCCAGAGGTCTATTGGTAGTCTATTGGTAGTATGCTAGGAGGCAGTTGAACAGTCTTGGGCCCCTGACACTCAATGTGTTGTCCCTTATCGTGCTAGTGGCGCTCCTGCTTTTCATTGGCGGGATGCTGCATTGCCTGCAGAGTCTTTTGCTTTCACAGGGAGTGATTTTTGTGTGCAAATTTGGTACTAATCCCTCTAAGATTTTCCAAGTGTATATAATAATATATCTCCCGCCTGCGTTCCAGGGAGAACAGTTTAATCTTTGACCAAATATTATTCACAGACTGCTATCTTAACCCAATGTAATAAATATTATTCACAGACTATCTTAACCCAATATAATAAATATCCGATCAAAATGTTAACCCTTAAACGGTCCAAACATACGTTCTCTCGCATAGCGCCCCAAACGTATACATAAGTTTCCTTTGTCATTTATTCAACACTGGCACGAAAAGCCCGAGTCACCTAGACATGAGAGAATGGGTGTGCGCACTCACTCTGCGCCATATGAAAAAAATTGGACGCCTGGGTACCATATGCTCTTTTTTCCTATTAAAAAAAAATTTTTTTTTTGTCAAAATTCAGGGCGCTATGCAAGAGAACATATATATACATTTGGACCGTTTAACCCTTAAATGGTCCAAACGTATATATACGTTTTTTCAACATCTGAAAGTATGTAAAAAAATGTAGATTGTTTTTTTTTTGTTTTACATGTGAAAACGTGTAAAAAAAAACTTTTATCTACATTTTTTTTGTTATATTTGAAAATATGTAAAAAAAAGTAGATCTACTTTTGTAGCTACGAATTTGAACGTGGATCTGTTTGGACCGTTTAAGGGTTAAACATTACCAAGCATGACAGTGTTGACAACGTATTAACTGTCTTAGACAATTATGATATTAAACATCACACTCATTAAACTTAGAAAATAATAATATTTATATAATGTATACAATAATGTAGACTAGTAATAATGTATATACCAGTATAATGTATATTTGTATACTAGCCAAAATGTACATTAGTAGCAATATTCACCAGTAACAATGTACACCAGTAATACCTCGTCACTATGACCAGTAACACCTGGCCACCATGACCAGTAACACCTGGCCACCATGACCAGTAACACCTGGCCACCATGACCAGTAACACCTGGCCACAATGGCCTAGCTTAATATTGTTACATGATTACTAACATGATTGTTAAGTTGGTAAATTAGTTATTTTTGTTATCAACAGTTACATTGTTTATAATGAAAAAATCAAAATGAGTGTTTATTTCCTTGCAAAACTTACAATGTGTGGTTTATATAAGATATTAATTACAAAGAAAGCCACTAGCATGCCTAGGCATTTCGGGCAGACTAATCTTAATTCTTATTGACTATTCTATATTGACACAGGTTATGGAGTAGTACATTTTAATATTCATTATTGCATATTAGTATAAAAGTTAGGTAATTAAAAAGTCTATCATTAATAAGATTGATAACAGTGAGATAGTACAAAACATAAGAGTATTACAATTAGTATAATTTAGTAATGGGAATGGTTTTATCTCTGTGTGGCATGCAAAGAGTACATAACCTTTATTCGGCACATGTACACATCCTCATTAACCCCTAAACGGTCCAAACGTATATATATGTTCTTACCGCTAGTGCCATGAACTTTTTCCAGTTATACTTTGACGAGCCTGTGATGAACTTGATAGTGACCCAGACGAACAATGTCATGAACAACACAGCACAGGTTAGAGAATTGTCATGGCTGCGCAGGTGGAAAGACGCAACAGTGGCTGAAATGTATTTATTCCTTGCCACTGTCATGCTTATGCCACATACCTATAAGAACAATATGTATGTAACTACTGGTGCACAGATCACTTCATCAGTACTCCAGCTTTCCGTGACCTCCTTCCCTGCAACAGATTCACTCTTGCTATGAATGTTGCACTTCTCAGACAGGAATACGCCCAACAGAAATGACCTTCTCTACAAAATCCAGGAAGTGTTTATGTATTTGAAGCAGAAATTCAGTGCATACCTTTATCCTTTCAAGAACATTGTTGTTGATGAGTCTTTGATTCTATTCAAGGGACACCTGTCATTCAAGCAATATATACCGAGCAAACGTAATCGCTTTGGTATAAAACTTTCTGTTATGTGTAACTGTGAGAGTGGTCATGTGTTGGATGTCACTGTATACACCGGAAGAAACACTCGATGATGACAGACGGATGTTGGGCATTTCTGGTGATGATAATCGCAGGATGAAGGAACCATATCTCGGTAAGTACTGACCCTAATTTTTTTTTTATCCTATAACACTTAAAAAAATGTGCTCTTTATTTCTAAAAAAAAAAAAAAAAAAAAAAAAAAAATTTTCAAAATATTCGGGGCACTGGGCGATAGAATGTATATATACGTTTGGACCATTTAGGGGTTAAAAGGCTACCTCCCCAACCAGTGAACCAGATACTAAGGGTTGGACGATCAGGGCCCAATCGTCAATCAATATCTAGGTTCAAACAATGAGGTGGAGCTGGCAATTTTGAAGGTGACGTGGTTACCACTCACGTTTTCACCCTTGTCATTTCCATTAACCCTTTGAGGGTTTCGGCTGTACTAGTACGGCTTATGACCCAGGGTTTTTGATGTACTAGTACGCCTAAATTCTAGCACCCTCAAATCTAGTGGGAGAAAGCTGGTAGGCCTACATATGAAAGAATGGGTCTATGTGGTCAGTGTGCGCAGTATAAAAAAAATCCTGCAGCACACAGTGCATAATGAGAGAAAAAAAAAACTTTGACCATGTTTTTGGAATAAAACAGCAACTTTGCACTGTATTTTCATATGGTATTTATTGTTGTATTCTAGTTTTCGTGGCCTCATTTCATAAAATGGAAAACATATTACAGAAATTGAGATGATTTTGACTGGTTTTACAATGAAAAGTGCCTTGAAATTGAGCTAAAAGTAGCAGACATGTTCGATTTTTACCAAAGTTCAAAAGTAAACAAATCATGCTAAGCGTCCAATACACGTCAACTGGCGAGTCTAATATTCTTTCACAAGTGTGCTGATATTATTTATACCATTTCTGCACTTATGCAGTAGTCTGCATACGTAACAGTAAATCTTCTATTTTTTGTAAGAATAAAAATTGAAAGTGGAAAGCCAAAAAAATATAAGAGGGGCCTGGGGATGTGACTAACGAACAGAGAACTTGTTATTTTAGTGCCAGGAATGTCTTTCTTGTTTATTCTGGACCCTATTCGGAAATTGGCATCTTTTGAAATTTGTGTGAAATTGGCAAAACTGCTAAATTCTGACCACTTTATTGGATAGTTGAAATCAGTAAATGGGTGGTTTCTTGTACTCATTCGATACAAAAAATAGAGTTCTAGCAAAATAGTTATGATTTTTGTCGACTAGTACATTGGAATTGGCCAAAAATAGAGCTCAAAGTGGGCAAAATCGCCGATGCGTAAACATCGTCGAGACCGCTAACTTCGCGAGAGCATAATTCCGTAAGTTTTTTCTTTTTATAAGAAAAAATAATTTTTTTTTTTTTTTTAAATTTGGCCGACCCTGAGAACAAGTCTCGGAGAGGGCCTGTCGACCCTCAAAGGGTTAAAGAGCTGGTAGAAGCACGGTCTACTTTCTATTGGCTTCAATTCTGCCTTGATTACCATGGCGTGCACTAATACCTATTGCTGTACATAGTGTGCATATGTCTGGCTATAATTGGTGAAGGACAATACAAGTAAAAGTTTTCTGCTGTTTATTTTGCTCCCTTTACACACCAGGATAACTGGCCTCTGAGTTCATGGGTTGTAATAACATGATACACTGTTTCTATAATTGAAAGCTCTGGTAGGAGACTTGGACCTGCCTCGCATAGGCCAGTAGGCCTTCTGCAGTGTTCCTTCGTTCTTATGTTCTTATGTTATATTGACAGAGTATTTCAGGCAAACTTAGGACTAACTTAAGATAAGGATTTTATGTTTTCGGTCAGTTGGGTGAGTGTAAGTATAAAATTAGGAGAATTACAGATAATGAGAACAAGTCTGTTCTGTTCTGGATGTGTTCATGATACTGAAAATAGCATGTGTGGTTATCATATAGTTAACTGATGATGGGGTAAGTTAGGGATAAAAGGTGTTTTTTAATGGTAGTTTTGAATATGCTGGTCGAGTCTGTGGTTCTCGAGTTTTCGTGCAGAGAGTTCCAGATTTTGGGCCCTTTTATGTACAATGAATTTTTGAAGAGATTTAGCCAGACACGAGGAATGTTATAAGAGAATTTTGTGTCTGGTATTATGTCTATGGGTCCTGTTGAAACTATCAAGAAAGTGCTTTAGTTTGGGATGAATATTAGAATTTATGGTTTTGTAAATGTAGGTTGCACAGTAGTATGTGTTAATGCTCTGTACAGTGAGTAACTTTAGGGCTTTGAAGAAGGATGGGGCCATGTTGCCTAGCATTGGATTGCATGATAATTCTTACTGCAGCTCTTGGCTGGGTTACTATTGGCTTTAGGTGGGTTGCTGCTGTTCATCCCCAGGCACAAATAGCATAGGTGAGATAATAAAAAGTTAATGTCCAGAAGATAAGTCTTACCATCTTCTGGAAGTTTATCCTCTTCTATCATCTGTCTCTCTCTCTCTCTATTCAAGCTTCTCTCTTCTTCTCTCTCTCTATCCAATCTTCTCTGGTCCAACAATATTTGGTTCTGTTGATAAACTGGAATTAATAAATGCAAAATATTCGTTTCTGCATATTATATTTTATATTTAGAATGAATAACTTGAATAAAAACTGTGAAGGTTAATAATGTATAGAATATATACAACATAATGCACTTCATTTTGAAGAATTAAAGTTATTTGTTTTACTGTACAGTCAATCCTATCTTAACCCTTTCACTGTCAGTCCTGTAATATTACGGCTTGCAAGCTAGTGTTGGTCCCGTAATATTACGCCAAAATTTTAGTGGCTTTAAATTTTGTGGGAGAAAGCTGGTAGGCCTACATACGTGAGAGTGGGTCTGAGTGGTCAGTGCGCGCAGTATAAAAAAAAATCCTGCAGCATGCTGTGCATGAGGAAAAAAAACTCAATGTTTTTTTGGTTTAAAACTGCGACTTTGTGGTGCATTTTCATATGGTATTTATGGTTGCATTCTCGTTTTCTTGATCTTAATTGATAGAATGGAAGATATATTACAGAAATAGAGATGATTTCGAATGGTTTATGGATTAAAAGTACCTTGAAAATGAGCTCAAAGTAGTGGAAATGTAGGATTTTTGCCAATGTTCAAGAGTAAACAAATCATGTCAGGCGTCCAATACACATCAACTAGTGGGTCTAATGTGTTTTCACAAGTGCGCTGATATTATTTATACCATTTTTACAATAATGCAGTAGTCTGCATAACAGTAAATCTTCTATTTTTTGTGTGAATAAAAATTCAAAATCGAAAACATGTGTAATATAAGAGGGGCCTGCAGAGGTGACTAATGAACAGAGAAAACATTATTTTAGGCCTAGGAATGTTACTGTTAATTCTGAAACCTATTTTGAAATTGGCCAAATTACCAATTTCTGATCACTTTATTGAGTAGTTTAAATCAGTAAATGGGCAGTTTCTTGTACTCAATCAATAGAACAAAAGAAGTTCTAGCAAAATAGCTATAAGTTTGGTCAATTGGAACAATGGAATTGGCCGAAAATAGGGCTCAAAGTGGGCAAAATCACCGATGCGTAAGCATAGCGAGGAAGTAATTCCATAAGTTTTCCATCAAATTTCATACTTTTCATGTCATCACCATTGGGAAAAGATTATTATTTCATAAGAAAAAAAAAATATTTTTTTTAAATTCTTCAACAGTGACGGCAAGTTTGTGAGCAGGAGTCTTCACAGTGAAAGGGTTAATGACCAAAATAGTGACCACAAGAATGCTTCCTTAAGCAAAAATTTTAATGTGACTGTAATGTTCTCATAAGATCCCATGTTATGAAGTGAGATGTGCACCATGATGCTTGTTTATTGTATGTGAGAGTTTTCCATGTTAACCTTTCACTAAATCCCTTGTATACAGGCACTCCTCACTTACTGACGTACTCATTTACTGACAGCTTGGAGTTACGACCAGCTCTCTGACCAGCCGGTATTGTATGCCGTACAAGAACTTGGGTCATTGAAAATGGGCAGCACGGTGTCTCAGCGTCGAGCATCACAATCTTCTTCCTGCAGCTACTCAGTACACTAATTTTCACAGTGTCCAAGACTACATATTTTGTCTATAAATCTGTACTTCATTGTGCACCCCATAGTACAAGATAGATAGATAAGATAGTTTATTTCTTTGTAAAGGTTACAATGTGTAATTACAATTTTGATTTGCTAAGTACAAAGATAGCCACTATCATGCTGGGGCATTTTGGGCCGACTAATCCTAATATATAGTAACTAATTAAGACTACAAGATAATAGTACATGGTAACTATATGTAAAACTAGACAAGAAGTAGTGGTTAACTGTTTTGCAAACTTACTTAAACTTAATATAAATGTGAGGTAGCAAGGTGGAGTAGGGTTCTGTAAAATAATCTTTAAATTGCACACAAAATCTATATTACAAGTAATGGTTCAGGTGGTAATATTTTATGAATTGGCAGAATTAAAAGCCTAGAGGTCACATAATAAAACTAATTAGCAGATGTTTTGGTTGATTTGGTTAATATAGAGAGATAAGATGATTTTTTAGAAAAGTCCTAAATTTATAAGTTGTCAGGGGATCCTGACCTGTTCCAGTAGCGAGTTCCAGATCTTCGGGCCTTTTATGTGCAGTGTTCTTGCATAGTGAGAGTCTGACTCGAGGGATGTTGAAAAGTGCCTTAAGCCTTGTATTGTGACTGTGCATTCTGTTGTAACTGTCGAGGAGTAGTTTTAATGGAGGGTTTACAGTGGAGTTTAATGTTCTGCATATGTAGTAGGAACAATAATGTGTGTATGTCTTGCATATTTAGCAAGTTAAGTCTTTTGAAGAGTGGTGGTGTGTGGTGTCGAGCACAGGAGCTGGTTATCACCCGCACAGCAGCTTTTTGTTGGGTTACTAAGAGTCTAAGGTAGTTGGCTATGGTTGCGCCCCAGGCACAAATGCCATAGGTGAGGTAAGGATATATTAGAGAGCGGTATAGGGTAAGGAGTGTCGTTGTGGTAACAAACTTACTCTCAATATTGACAAAACCTACTACATTCAGTTTGGGAACAGAACTACAGATGCTCCTCTTAACATAATGATAGGTGATCTGTTTATCACAAAGCTCACAGAGGAAAAATTCTTAGGAATCCACCTTGATAACAGACTTAAATTTCAAACACTTTCTTCTTTCAACACACCGGCCGTATCCCACCGAGGCGGGGTGGTCCAGAAGGAAAAAACGAAAGCTTCTCCTTTTACATTTAGTAATATATACAGGAGAAGGGGTTACTAGCTCCTTGCTCCCGGCATTTTAGTTGCCTCTTACAACACGCATGGCTTACGGAGGAAGAACTCTGTTCCACTTCCCCATGGAGAGAACAGGAAATAAACAAGAACAAGAACTAGTAAGAAAATAGAAGAAAACCCAGAGGGGTGTGCACATATATATATGCTTGTACATGTATGTGTAGTGTGGCCTAAGCATAAGAAGTAGCAAGACGTACCTGAAATCTTGCATGTTTACGAGACAGGAAAATGGACACCAGCAATCCTACCATCATGTAAAACAATTACAGGCTTTCGTTTTACACTCACTTGGCAGGAAAGTAGTACCTCCTTGGGCAGTTGCTGTCTACCATCCTACTACCTATAAAATTTCAAACACATGTACAACAAATTTCCAAGAAAATCTCCAAGACTGTAGGCATACTACTGAAGATACGGTACTATGTTCCACAGTAAGCCCTCCTGGGCCTATATCACTCACTCATTTACCTCTATCTCACCTATGGAATTCGTGCATGGGGCTCAACAACAATAAATCGTCTCAGACCATTGATTACCCAACAAAAGGCTGCAGACAAAATGATAACAAATTCCCACTCCAGGCAGCACACTCCACCAATATTCAACTCTAAACTTACCGTACAAAACATCCATACTTATTATTGTACCTACTACATACATAGAACACTAAACTTGGATATAAACCCTCCCTTCAAACATCTCTTTACCAACCTCAACAGAACACATGACCGTAACACAAGGCACAGATCACTCTTTGATGTTCCTCGTGTCCATCTCACACTACATAAAAACTCGATTCACATAAAAGGCCCAAAAATCTGGAATTCAATACCTGTGAATATAAAAGAAATACTGTCTGTTTATCAATTCAAGACTCTTCTTAAAAACCACTTACTCAACCACAACTAAATAAATACTGAATAAATGAATCTCATAAATGTATAACCTGTGACCCTATCAAATTGTTTTTTTTAATTACATTACCTAATAGAATACTCTGTTCTCTTGAATGCACAGCAACTCATCTAATGACCATATGACCTGTTTCTGCACTACAAATCATTGATTTTACTCGATCTGATTCGATTATATTATACATTGTTATGCTACAGATTTGTACAACTTTAATACTTCTTATTTGAAATACTCATTCGTACTTCATGTTGTAATTTGTTTACTGTAATTTTTACAACTGAACATATCATTGCTTAGTTAATCTTAAGTTAATTTTAAGCTGCCCATAATGCTCTACATACAAGGGACTTTTGGTATGTACACCCAATCACTATATTTCTTTTTACAACTATGTATCATGTCCAAATAAAAAATAAATACATAAATAGTATCGTATCTTGGAAAGGATTCCTATTGATTTTGAAATTTTCTTGGCTACGTGATGGGTGTGGGACTGAAATTTAAGATTACAGTCAAGGAGAAGACCTAGAAATTTGCCCTCCGTGTGTCTTGATATAGGGGAACCATTTATCAGTATATTAAGTTGGATATTTAAGGCTCTGTTGCCAAACAGCATGAAGTATGTTTTGTCTATGTTGAGAGTGAGTTTGCTGGTCATCATCCAAGTATTTATCTTCAGCAGCTCATTGTTTACAGTGTTTCTAAGTACAGCTGGGTCTGAATGACCATCTGTGAATAGAACTGGTTTAAGGAGTTGGGATGCACTGGGGAGATCATTGATGCAGATGAGAAAGAGGAGTGAGCCTAGGACACTACCCTGGGGTACTCCTACAGCTACATGTTGGATAGTGGAGTTGACTCCATTTGCATATACATACTGGTTTAAGGAGTTGGGATGCACTGGGGAGATCATTGATGCAGATGAGAAAGAGGAGTGAGCCTAGGACACTACCCTGGGGTACTCCTACAGCTACATGTTGGATAGTGGAGTTGACTCCATTTGCATATACATACTGGTGTCTATTGTTAGGATAGGATTTAAGGTAGTCAAGAGAATGTCCTCTGATGCCGTAATGATTCAGTTTTAGGTGCAAGAGATTGTGGTCGACTGTATCAAGTGCTTTTCATAGGCCAATGAAGAGCCCCAGAGGATATTCATTTTTATCGAGAGCTGTGTATATTAGGTCAAGCATTTGTACGATAGTCATTCGTACTTTTTTTTTTTTTTTGGTCTAAACCCAAACTGGCATGGAATGTCAGGTAGGAGTAAAGTCACTTGTGTAAAACTTTTCGAATATCTTGGATGGTAAGGGCAAGTTTGATATGGG